TCCCAGGGGGACCAATTCCGTCCAAACAAAACAACCCTCCGCCAAGCTACCAAAATACACTATTACCTACTAAGGTAACTAAATGAAAATTGCACAACAATTAGCCTGCTGGCCTAAACCAAGCGGCCAACCAACACTAAACATCCAAAGGAAAAAAGAAAAAAAACAAAACAAAAAAAAGAAAACAGGAAGACCTTCGAGTACTAATCGACTATCCTACCAATTTACTCTTTCGAAAGCCAGGGTGGGAAACTGATGTTACCATCCGGTCTAAAAGCGACCAGTCGTGCATTTGTCCCCCACGTCTTGGAGAACCAACTATCTGATTTAAGCGTGCGCCTGTTTTTCACCCTTCTTCTCCAGTCTGCAATAATTGTATGCCTGATCTCACTTTTAACTCTGTCTATGGTATTTTCCTGGGACAGCCAACAGTCACGAAACACTTGATCATTACGATCCTTCCACAAAGTATCAAAGATGATCCCCCTGATAACTTGAGCCACATACCCCTATCCTATGTTAGCATGAATATTGACAGGGAGTATGCCTGTCAAGATCCATTTCTCATCCCAGGGAAATATATCTTTGGTGATCTCTTTCCAGTATCTCTCTCACCATTGCCACACCCTGCGTGATAATGGACATGAAAACCAGAGGTGGTGTGGATTCCCAGGCTTAGTTACAACGCATGCACGTTGTAGAGATTTCCATCCCTTTAGCACTCAGCCATACCGCTGATGTTGTAACCAATAACGATTGAAGCAGCAAAATGCTAGCATGTTTCTGAGACGGTAGCTTCTTCAGTTGACGCCAATGGTTAAGTAGGTTTTTTCTCTCTATCGTTACTAATTGTTACTCTTCTCGTTTTTTCACCACCGTATCCACTGGATTTAGCTTGACCTTATGTTGAAGAAACTCCACTCCTTTTTTGGCTGAGTAGTCATACAACCTGATAGCCTTCTGAGACGTGGGATCCACCCAGCCTATAATACCTGGGTGAAAGGATATTTCTTCAGTTGTTCTGCCTCCTGCTAATAGTTTCGCTTGGGGCCGGGTTACCCTAACCACAGAGTCGGTCGGCCTAACTTGCTGCTTGATCTCTTCTACTATGACCTGCCTGAAGCCTTGGATAGAGTTCACCTGCACCTCTTTTTTAAAACTCAGCAGTCTTGTATATGGGGTTTTGGCTGAAGCTTCCCAGACTTCCACTCTCAGACCATTGTCCCCAAGCTGGTCAACAACTTTCCAATACTCGCTTAGCTCACCATTCCTTGGGACTTTTACCCAATTGTCCGTACTGTAACGAGTGCTTAGTAGTTGTATCCAATCTGAGGGTACCGAGTTTTGAATATCTGTCAGGCGCTCCTCCACTAGTTTTAAGCATCGAAGTTGAGTTCTCAGTGAGGCTTCCGTACGCCAATCCCGTAACTCTTTATCCCATAAGTCTCCCAACCTAATCACCCCTCTCTCTATCCCGGCTTTCCCAAAATGACCAGGGGCGTCGCGGGCTGAGAAAGGAGCCCCATCTAGGCCACAAAGCAAGTTATTTTCGAAAATTGGTTGCATTAAAACTTTCTCCCATGAGTTCGGACTGGTGCGATCAGCATGTAAAATCTTAGACCATGCATGCAAGACCCCTTTCCAAAACCGGGATTTGGGTCTTTTACTACAGTAAGATTGAATAAAAATGCAGCTCCAGACATCTGAAGGATTTCTCAGACTCCATTCCTCAGACAATATGTATTCCGCTAACCACATCCAAGCATGTTTGCTTTCAGCTAATACCGCTTTAATGGGTCATTTCGCTAATAATGCAATGTTTTGGCGCTTAGGGTCTGGAATACCAAAGCCTTCTGCATCTCTGGGAAACGTAATACTCTCCCAAGATATTTTTGAAAGAAATCCTTCTCCTTCTTCTGCGTCTGGTTTCCACAAGAACCTTGCAACCACTTTCCTAATCTTCTTGTAAGCTTGGTTACCGAGTAAATGTAGTTGCAGTGGGTACCAAAGTGGTGAGAATGCTGACGCAGAAATCGCAGTAGCTCGACCCAACAAGGAGAGGTGTCTTGTACAATCCCATTTCGTGATTCTCTGACATACCTTCTCCTCCAAGAGTAGATCCTGCAACTCTGAATTTTCTGACAAGGACACTTGAACTCCAAGGTACCGATCTGAAGCATCTGTCTCAATGCGTCTCATACCCCAGTTCACTTGTAAATTGAATTGTGCAGGCAAAAAGAAAACTGACTTGTGCATATTTATAGAGGCCTCAGATAATATAGTGCATTCGTCTAGTACCTTACGTACAGCACCCAAAGACTCTTTTTCATTCAGACTTGCAATAGTTAAATCATCAGCAAGCGCCCCACCTTTCCATTGATATTCATTTTGCAGTTCGAGTCCCTTAATTGAGTTATTTTTTCTAATATTATCCAGCAGTATCTCCTGTTGCAGCACGAAGAGCAGGGGGGGCAACGAACATCCCTAACGCAAAAACCGAGATAGCTTAAACTCCTCTTACAGGTGGTTGTTTACTGACACCCTCGCAGTTGAGGTGGAGTACATAACCGACACCCATCTGCAAAAGTTCGGGCCGAAACCCATATGTGTTAGAGTTGTTCCAACAAATGCCCAACCTACCTTGTCGTATGCTTTCTCCATGTCAATGAGGAGAATTGCTACATCCCTGTCTTCTCATGCAATAATTTCAAGAGCTTGGATGGTAGCCGCGATATTGTCCATTGTGGATCTGTGTTTTACAAAATCCCTTTGCTCTGAGCCTATAAGGGCTGGAAGGTAGTGAGCGAGACGTAAAGCCAGGGCTTTGGCTAAGATTTTGTAGGAAACATTGAGTAATGAAATCGGTCGCCAGTTCCGTATATCAAGCTTGTTGCCTTTTTTGTAAAGCAAGGTAATTACACCTTGCTGCATTCCTTTGGAGAGTGTACCCCCCATTAGGATCCCGTTATAGATTTCAACTAGAACCGGTCCTATACTGTCCCATAAGGCTATATATACTTCCACCGACAACCCATCGGATCCAGGACATTTCCCAACAGCCATTTGTTCTGCTACGAGTTTGACCTCTTCCACTGTGAAGGGTCTGTCCAGATCTAGTCTTCCCTCGATGGGCAGTCGGACGCTTGACCGAGTCCAAAACCCAGAATTTTCCCTCAAGTCTGTTAAGAAAGAGTCCAAATGTCTTCTTGAGGTTAAAATATCTTGAAAGTACAGTTGTGCATACTCACACATACCCTGTGGGTCTGATCTAGTGGGTGCATTGGCTACAAAAGGGTGGGTCAGTTCCCTAATTAACGACTTAGTTTTCTGCAGAAGCAGTCTGCGGAAAGTTTCCTTATTTAATCTGTCATTGGAGATAATCCCTTTCTGATGAAGCCAGTCCTTCTATTTCTCTTGCTGAGCTATTTCTAAGTTATCTAACTCAGTCCTTGCTCGTTTCCGGGCTGCAGTCCAGTACTCACCGGACACCGGGTGCCTGCCAAAGTTACTCTCTGCTGTTTTAATTCTTTGGATCCATTTCTGCTCAATCGCATTTTTCTCAATAGCCTTGATCCGGGAGAAGACTTCAAAGTAATTCTTCATTATATTCATACCAGTATCGAACCACGAATCCACATTAGGGAAAAAATCTCTTGCTTCCTGCCATTTAATCCAGTGCATCTTAGCCCACGTTAGCACATTAGTATCCTTTAAGTGCTCTACGTTCAAACGAAATAAGGGTTTAGCAGAGGGTTCTTTGGCGTCAAATTCCGCCGTAACCGGACAGTGATCAGATATTGAGGAAGTACCTAGCTCCACTTTCATACACCTATCCCATAGTGCCCCTCTAACTAAAAAAAAGTCAAATCTTCTCTGCACCGGGGGCGATTGGGAACCATACCAGGTATATTCTTTTGAGTCCGGATGAAAAGTCCCATAGGCGTCAGTTAATTGTTGAGACTCCATAAGCGCAAGTAGTAACCGTCCATCAGCACGCACTGGTTCTGCTACTGAGGAATCTAAGCCAGGGTTCAAGACTGTGTTCCAATCTGCTGCGATAAGCAGATTTGGACTGTCCGGTAGAATGGCCGGCAGATCCGTCAAGAATTTTAATCTTTCGTTGTAAATGGTTGGGACATATAATGACATGACCGTCCAGGTTTCCTTTAGAATTTCGAATTGTACCTATACCCACCGTCCCCACATGTCCGCCATCCAATCTGTTATGCAAATATCCATATCTTTGTGAAACAGAATTCCAACTCCAACCCGTGTTCCCTGCGCCGGCGACCA